TAAATCATTTTTATCAATTAGACTCCTCCCGAAAGAAATTCTGGATACGCCCGTGATCATGTTTAATACTAGAATTCATTAACTGTAAAAAATATATCTCTGCATACTTATTTATTTATGTGTCATATAATTTTCAGGAATTGGTGGAATACTGTTATATCTGTCAAATAAGAAACATATCTGGTTCTATGCAGATATTCTCTTAAGCACAAAATAATAAATAATATTTCTATTTCTTTAAACCATTCTTATCCCTTAATGAAATTTTGTAAACACATTTTATAAATTATGTTGTGTCAATGTACGTTTTACTTCTAAGCATTATTTATAAATTTTTCATAAGCCGTCCCTAAGAATAATCGTAGGTATTTCTCACACTTATGGATGTATGTAAAAATTGCAAGGGTTTGAAAAAGGTTTTTTCTAATATAAAAAATGAGTATATTATGAATTCCTAATATTTCTTTTAATAGTAAACAACTTAAAATTTTTATTGATATAGTTATTTATCTTAACCCTCAAATGGCACACTGGTGCGAATTCGCACCAGCAAAAATTTCAAAACATTGGCATTTTTCATCAAAGATCTTTTCTTATTAACAATTTTTTTTAACTTAATAACATTTTAATTAAATGTAAGTTGCACTAATCGATTTGTTGAGAAATTTTATTCCCAAAAAATATGCTTTTGAAAATATTTTGAAAAATATTATCATTGTTAAATAAGTGAATAAAATCACAAATTCCCAATTAGCACCAGTTTGACGTTTACGGGTGCTGGGATGAAGTGTGCTATTAGTTAAATACAGATCAGAAACTAATTTTGTTGGATTATCAAATTAATTATGTAAGACGCTTACAATGTGAAATTTTATATATCCAATGTTAGTTATTTTTAATCATTTCTATAGATTGCTGCTGATTACATTGCTTAATATATCATAATTGTACTAAAATAATAGAGTCGAACAAGATAATGTGTGCGTGTAACTCAAAAATTAATAAATTATATTTGACTGAAATTTAATTTATTATAGTACGTTAATGTGTTCGAAACTAACCATACAAAATGGATTAATTTACATTTTGATACCGTTGGAAATTAAAAATAACAAAATATTTAACTCAAGGGATTGGATTACTTTTTTGATACGTATAGTAGTATTCCTGATTGCGATTACAATGTAATTTTTTCAGTACTTTAGCCTTATGTCTAAGGCCACCGAGCGGACGAGATTGCCTAGAAAACATTTTCGATCGCTTGAAACAAGCGACTAGTGTCTGATAATATTTTTCAAAATACTTTCAAAAGCATATTTTTTGGGAGTAAAATTTCTCAACAAATCGATTAGTGCAACTTACATTTAATTAAAATGTTATTAAGTTAAAAAAAATTGTTAATAAGAAAAGAGTTGGAAGGAGTTCGCTATCTCGCTCGCACCCTCGGCGCGCCGCAGGCGAGCACACGACATGAGCTCGTGCCTGAAGGTATTGCTACCGGTTTCGCTAGACCGCCACGTGCCGTCTGATTCGGTGTCGTCACCGTCTCAACGCAGAGTTCTTGGCTGAGTATATCAGGAGACTCCGAGAGAGTGGATGAAACAGATACAGTTTTAAGTTTCGCTTAAAGTCAAAGTAACGTTGGTTACTTTGACTTTAGTATACTTGTCTTAGTTATTTCTTTCTTCCGCTACGAAGCATCAGCACGTAATGCATTGCGTTACTGTATAATACACAGTACTGTTTAATGTTGATAGATTTTGATTATTGTGTCATATATTTTCTGCAGATGTTGGATATTTACGATACGAGTTTTATACCTACATAATAAAATGTCTAGACAACAATACTGGTGGTAAGTTTAAAATTCTTTATTTGCTTTTTGTTGTAATCTTTGAAGAAAGATATTATATATTGCTACTTACTAAGTAACTGTAGAATAATGATGCATGCACGCATTAATAGATCAGAATCGGATCGCTCCCGTTTAGTGACTTTCTATATAAAGCTAAAGATGATCAAAGCTGGGATTCATTGCATTCGACTTGGGGTGCGTTCCGTTTCTCGCATGATGCGCATAATGCATCGTTTATCCTTCTTGCTCACCAAAAGTTAAACAAGGACAATGGATGCATCATGCACATCATGCGCGATACGGAACGCACCATTGGATATATACCTATATATATTACAATGGCGTCACAAACGTACCCCCCAGCTCCGGTTTAGAATTACTAACCGACCGTTCAAAAATCGACAAATAGTCGGGGCGTAATTTGCTTGAATTGGAGATTGTTGAACAGTTTGCTGCATCTAGATGAAATGGCGTCATCTTATTTTTACTAGAATATATATTATATAATATATATTCTAATATTATATAATATATATTATCTTCATCTGTTAATTTTAAATAAAAAAATGTTACCTTTTCTCAAATTATCTAGACAATTATCCTGTTTAAATTATTGAAGATGGAAATCCATTATCTAGAAAATTTGAGGAAATATAATACTTTTTTATCTAAGACACAGATAAAGACAATATACACACATATTCTAGTAAAGATAAGATGAAACCATTTTATCTAGATTATCTAGATAATTTCATCTAGATACCAGCATACACTATCTAACAATCTCCGTTTCAAATAAACTGCGTGCCTATTTCGTCGTTTCAATTTTTAAATGTAATTTCTAAGCCAAAGCTGGGATTCGTGCATTTGTATTCAAACATTTTTATTGAATGTCTTAAATTCTTAGATAATTTGTTGATTCTGCTGCGTTGTTTTTAGCAATAGATATCGTACATATTCAGTACTCTTACTCTAGATATTTTTATGTCGATCATTCGTACGCAATCCATTACCAAACGTAAGGACGAATTCAGACATTTGTCAAGGGGCCACTGACAGATTTATATGTTTTTGAGTTTATTTTTGGATTGTCGTGTTTCTAAAACATCATGTGCCAATTGTAACGAACGAGTAACAAAGAAAAAGGGAAAATTTAATTATCTCACGTTATTCTCTTTCTGTTCTTATTACCTACTTATTATTAAAGTTGCGCGCTGCAATCGAAATTTTTTTTTAATTAATCGATAAAAATAAACTATTTGAATTATCATTAACATCACATCGAAAAAGTACTATGTACATAGTATATACTCATAAAACATTTTATTTTATATTATATTAGCAAAAAAATAACATATGCATAACATTTTACAATAAATTCTGATTTATATTTTCTATTTCTTGTAAACGTATTCAACACTGTTTCTTTAAGAATTTCGATATGTTTATGTTTCAAACTTTTATGATCAGAGTGGGAGCGAGTCTCAGGTCGAGCGACAAACTATGAGACTGCTAGCGCCGGTGTATCGTATGCTACAGGAGTCCTTTATAAAATTCAATCTAATATAATTGATTTAGAATTTTTAATTAACAGTTACTGTTCTCTCAAATTAAAATTCGGAATTGTTCTTTATAAATATGCGACAACGTAAATTATTTGTTTGAGCTGTTTATAAATTATTTACTGAAATTGCCATTGGTATTAGTGCTTCAGCTAATGATTATAATTGAAACAAATGTCAAATTGATTAAAGTTCATTTACCAAAGAAATTAATAATGGATCCGAGCAATTCAAGCTGTTTCATTATATCATATCCTTCGGAAGGGGATGGAGGAATGGATTGAATGGAAACTGAATATAACGCTATATTTAAGTTTAAATTACTGAACTGGCTGTCATGTGGATCCCATGCAATGTTGTATTGAAATTGACGCGGATTATCCATTTCAGATAAATAAGAGATATTCGGATATTAATTTGTTGCTTACCGCGCAAAACAATCATGAAAAATTTTATTATATTATATTGATTGTTTTTCTAGGCTTCTACGTGATCCGCCGTTTAGGAACGAGATAAAGCTCTTTATTAACACCTATGGTAGCAATCCTGAAAAAGATTGTCTTGGCTCTTCTCTTTTGGTTACTAAAAGTGGAGAGGTATATTAAAAATTTACTATAAAAAAATATTTGACAATTGTATGAACTTTAATAATACAAATGGTTATTCAATACATTTTAAATATTTTCTTATGAGTTTAGAAGGCTAAACAAAGAGTATAAAAAAATTGTATTTTTATCTAATAATATAAAGAATATGAAGAAATGAAAATATAAATCCTTTAAAAAATAAGAAAAATTTTGTTTTTAGGAAAATTGAAAAAATATTGCTGGTATAAAGAACATCTTTATATTCTCTATAGTTAAATTAATTAATATTATATAAGAAGTGGATTAATATATGTATGTAATATGTCTTATATCTTTAAACGTCATGTTGTAATGTTTTTACATTTCGTAGTATATCATAACACAAATATACAACATTTAAATCTTTTATATTTATATTTTTTATCAATAAGTGCAGTAAATTGATTGAAGTTTTTTATAAATTTTGTTCAATAAATTGGACAATATGTAATAGTGCAGATAAATCAATACATTATTAATCTTTAGGTTGCTTTTATGCTTTATTATTTTATTCTATAATATTTTATAATTTTGCAACTAAATTAAGTATATTAAGTTGTCTGCATTTCTGTAATACAACGAAAAACATGTGATAACACTATCTTTATGTAAAAGAAATATCTTTGGGCTAACCCAATCGAGAGAGCAAATACAAGTGAAAAGAGTGTGTGTTTTATCAAGATAAGTCAATGGCCTGATGAGATTGATTGGACCAATACACGCATTATACGATCCTCAGTTAACAATGACAATATTCTCGTTTTAACTGAAAAATATAATAAGGTAAAGTTGCGATTATATATATAAAATATCATAACAAGTATAATAATAATAACTATAATAACAATAATAATAATTTTTCATATTCATAAATTGTGTATAAATATAACGTGATTATTTAAAATTTAGTTAATTTGCTTTCGCTTAAGTTGCAATAAGTCGCATATTTTATTTGGCATGGGCAAAATTGATATTGGAGCCGTAGAACATGTTGAAGTAAAATCAAAAGTCCGTGGCTTTGCTTGCTGCAAATCTTCTTCTGTATTTATTACTAGTGCAGGCGAAATATTCGAGTGTGATAATACTGTCGACCTCGATTACGTAGAATCACGTAAACTGCTTCCTCTTTCACATAAAATAATAGGTAATATATTCTTAGCTCATTTATAAGAAATAATGATGTATAGATGGATCGAAGATTTATGAATATAATATTATATAATTTGAATAATTAAATTTATCCAATTTTGTGATGCTTTAGTTGAGGTAGCCGCAGGTTTTGATCATATACTTGCTCTCACTGATAAAGGAAGGGTTTATGGCTGGGGTGCAAACACGCATGGACAACTGAATTTTAATAGAAATTACGGACAAGCAGAACGTTTGGAGTCTCCTTCCGAAGTAAATTTTTTGTTATTCATAATTTTCATGATAATGAAAACTGAAAAATGTATAATAAAGAAAAAGATCTTGCGATTATAACAGATACATATACCTAATGTAAGAAAAGTATCGGATATCGCCGCCATGAAATTTATGAGCGCTGTCAAATCTAGCGACGATGGACTTGTCTACATACAGGGTTATTTACATGGAAAAAATATTAGGCGTTTTGCTGTCTGTGAATATACAAATATATTTGACAGATACAACTCATCGTTCCATTCGCTAAAACAGAATCATACGTATACACAGGAAGATCACGATATAATAGAAAGTTTAATATGCGCATTCAATGATAGTGTAAGTTTCATTCGCTGTTCTATTCGTTCTTCTACTATAATGGATTTCCAGTTGATTGAAGACATGCTGGAAGTCATAAGAACATCGTTTATTGAAATTATACTAACTTCGCATGTTAGCAGTATTTACTTCAGTTCTTCTTTTTATTCTTTTTATACATTTTTAGCCTATCTTATAAGCCTACCTAATAATCTTTCTCTTTCTATAAATTGTTACCTGTATTTATCTTTAACAATCCTTATTTCTTATCTTTGAAGTCCACGAGCGATCTTACAATACAAGTCCACGGGGAACCTATTTACGTTCACAAAAGCATTCTGAAAATGCGTTGTTCATATTTCAAAAACATGTTTGCGTTTAATGAGGTGCAAAACAGACAAAGGTATCGTTTATGAAAGAACTATACAGAATTTTTATTAAAAATTTTTTATGTTTGGTTCATGGATTGTATTTTAACATATTTTTTTACGACAGGATTATCAAATATTCTGATTACTCATTTGAGACATATGGAAATTTTATTCTATATTTATACTCAGGCTGGATTTTGTTTACATATCCAAGCAAGATGGTAGGTGAGTGTTAGTTAAATATACATTGATACTGTCTTTAACTTTTTGTAATGACACTGGAGTCAAAATGATTCTTGAGTGCATTTGACCAATAATTTTTTTTTACTTTATAAAACGAAAACTGAATATGGCAATCAGTTTAATGCGCTTGGAAGTCATTTTGATTCCGACGTAATCATTACTGAACTTTTAAGAAGTGTGACAACAAAGGGTTAATTCGTAACTAGAATGAATTGTTCGTTATACAGAGCTCATGATATTATCTAATAAATTCGGCATGACACATCTTGAGAAAAAATGCATTAAAAAATTAAAAAAGAATATGAATTCCTCAAATGTATCCTATATCAAGGAAATGGCGATAAAGTATAATAAGAGGGTAACTATATATCACTTTTTTTTCTATTATTTCTTTTCCAAGATAATTACATAATTTATGACGAGCTTAATATATTGTCCAACTTAAATTTAATTCCTTATGTTTCTTCTGTACCTTTTGTATTCCTGTTTTATTGCATTGTAGAAAATATCTTTTTATTGATAATTCCTTAAGAAAATTTACTCATTTTGTATACGAAATGACAAGATTAGTAGAATGACAAGATAAATGACAAGATTAATAGAACTCTAGCTTATGCCAACTGCTCTACTGTATCCAATCAGTTTCATGGGTACATCCAGCGGGAGGGCTCGAGAATTCAAACCCCTCCGAAATTTTTTATTCATTTCTTATGTTTAATTATATATAATTAGAATTTTATTTTTTATTCTGAGTAAATTTTTTGTTGTCACAAAAAATAATTTTTTCTTACCTTTACAATCATGTAAGTAATTTCTGAAACTTCCGATAAGTTTTGACAATGTCTGATAAAAAAAATTTTTTGAGATTGTTTAAAATAAAAAACAGAATGTGTTAAAATATTAATGAATACTCCATTCATAACTATATACATTTTGTTTTTAATAACTATGTCTTGCTTATACTTTCTTTAGAAAAAAAATTATGTGTGTGTGTATGTGTGATTTCCAAAATCGAATATTTTTTTGTATTCGAATGGGGAACAAGAAGGAGACATTCTAAATCCTAAAAGATTAAAAAAGCAATTATTAACGCAAAACAATGCTGTTTATGAGATAACAGATTTATTAAATCATTTTTATCAATTAGACTCCTCCCGAAAGAAATTCTGGATACGCCCATGGTCATGTTTAATACTAAAATTCATTACCTGTAAAAAATGTATCTTTATTCTATGTATTTATTTATTTATATATGTCATATAATTTTCAGGAATTGGTGGAATGTTGTCATCTCTATCAATTAAGAAATACATCTGATTCTATGCAGATATTCTCTTAAGTACAAAATAATAAATAATATTTCTATTTCTTTAAACCATTCTTATCCCTTAATAAAATTTTGTGAACACATTTTATAAATTATGTTTTGTCATTGTACATTTTACTTCTAAGCATTATTTATAAATATTTCATAAGCCCCCTCTAAGAATAATCGTAGGTATTTCTCACCTTTATGAATATATGTAAAAAATGCAAACGTTTGAAAAAGGTTTTTTTTTAATATGAAAAAATAAGTACATTTCGAATTCCTAATATTTTTTTTAGTAGTAAACGATATAAAGTGTTTATTGATATAGTTATTTACTTTAAATATAGTGAATTATATTTGACAAATTAAGGTTTCGTAGATGCGACGTATATATTAGGATATATCGGAGTTACCTATGTTTCGAAATTGTAGCTTGTTAAATATCATCCAATTGCGATTGCTATACTCTATTCATCGATGCGATTTGTATACTTTTGCAATTTGTGTTACGAATTATATTTGGATTCTCAAGCACAAGAGTCGACTTAAAGAATCTATATCGTGTATCTAATATCATTCCTGCGAAATCTCGTGCAATTTATCATTAACTTTATAAACAGGATATACTCGTACGGTGGGTGTTTTCTGCATTGCCTTAGGCAAATTGGTTACGCTCGATAGAACGCGGCCAATCGATACTATGTGAAGCATTAAGGCGTTCGTCTCTATTTAAAAAAGGGCCTGACTTGAGAAAAAAAAACAGGGACGCTGTATGAGTCATCGGGCACCATTAAGCACCGCACAGGTTACGATATCAATGACTTACATCGTTCCGTATTACAGGCCGTGAATATAGGTCCAAAGTATCCGTCCTCGTACTTCCGGTCCGCACGCGACTTATGCACGTGAAGGCACGTGGCGTAAATCGAGGTGTTTACGTACACACATGCGTGCCAAGAAGTGCACATGCGTGTGCTCGCGTTGCTCTTCGAGGGGACGGACATGCCTTGTCGACACTCTTCGGTATCCGTATTTTTTTTTGTTGCATAAGATCGCTATTTGCGCCATACGAAATATAACGATTTATTTTATATTTAGCCGAAATAGGATGCAAAATTATCTGATCGCAGATTTGAGCAGAACATGCACGGGAGACAAATATTATATTTGGGATTCTTTTCGCGGATAGAAGGAATCCTAATTGTTATAAAATAAATAAAATCCTAATTGATATTTGCTCCGAAATTTCCTTAATTGGTATTTTCGGGGCCAATGTAACAATAATAATAGTTATTACATCATCACAAGTAATCATGTCAATAAGAGCCGACACATGCTGTTGGTATGTATGTATTTATTCAAGTATAAATAAAAGATTAATTACGCAAACGTTTCGACCGTTTGTTTAGGATCATCTTCAATGCTATTCAAATTAACGCTTTCGTCGCGAATGTCACGAATTAAGAATTAAAACTAAGAATTTCACACGAGGTCCACATGTCGAACGAACAACAACAGTCTAACATAGCTTAACATTTAATCTGTCAATTTTATGGGAATCTATATTGGACGAATAAACGCATTACAGCTTGACGTATTGATAATCTGTAGGAACTATGTAATATGGAACAGCGACTTAATTGTAAACCTAGTTTTAATTCTTAATTCTTGACATTCTAAACAAACGATCGAAACGTTTGCGTAATTAATCTTTTATATATACTTGAATAAAAACATACATACCAACAGCATGTGTCGGCTCTTATTAGCCTGATTACTTGTGATGATTTTATTCGCTAGAGCCTAGATCTTATATTATATTTAATAATTATTACAATTATAATTACTGCTTCATTAAATATAATATAGCTTACAATGTTATTCGAACTTTATTTAAGTGAACTTTAAATTAATATATCTTTGCTAAAGTTAATATGATTGGGCAATTTTTTATTTTAAAGATAAAAATCTGAGAATTAAAATTATGCGACTTATATGTAATGTCGGGAAAAACATTTGTTATAAAGAATTTTTCACAGCATAATTGAAAAAATCCACTGGACTCGTGAATACTAATAAAAAAACGTCAGATTTATGTACGCTATTTACACATATTAAATTTAAAAAAAAATTCATATAATATGTGATTAATTTTTGTGCTTTGCGATTTCGAGGCGAACGCCACATCGGCGTCTGGTGGCTTCGACAGGCGAAAGCCCAGTACTTTCTATCGGCAAATATTTATTCATAATTTCGTTTCAATCATGCATATATACGCGCGTTGATGTTGAGTGGATTTAGCCGCTGGTCAGTCCATCTTCTGGACAAACAACGCCGCGCGCGGGAGGGAATAAGGACACCTCCGTCCCAACGTCATACCAAACGCACGCACACGAGCGGTGTCCCCATGCGTAAAGCAAACACGCATAAAATTACGTATTCGTAGCTCTCCCATACCAGTCGGCGGGCGAGCGGATGTATTCTTAGAAAAACACGAGGCACGATTGATATGGGATGGACCGCCGCGATATATTTGCCTGGCCGCGGTCGATCGCGATTGCAACAATATTAGAATTTCCGCAACAACGCCTGAAGTTCTTTCTCCTTCTCTCTCTCTTTCTCTTTCATTTTTGTTTTTTCCTCTTGCAATTATTTATGGAGAAAGAATGAGGCAGGAAAATCCACAATTGACTACTGATTTCTATAGAAACTTGCAATTATTTTGAAACGTATTTTTTTAATACATCTTCGCTAAAATATGTATTGATTAATAAAAGATTTATTTCTTAATACTTTTTGTGAAAATTTTTTAAATTCAATTTGAACGCATTTTAGTAAGTAATTTATACTAAAAGCTTAATGTTCTTTAAATTTGAAAAAATTTATTTTTCTAAAATGTATATTATTAATATATCAGGTATCAGAAGAGATCAGATCATCTCTAAAAGAGCGAAATCTCATTCCAAAGGATTTAAAGAATACATCCTTAACATGACAGTGAACTTTCCCGCAACTTGCGTCTCGCGGAAACGAGACAGGCCGGATGGGCTGATTTCTGCTGGACAAAAGTTAACGACGTGTCGGCCAAAGCAGTGGTCAGTCACTCCCCCGATCGACTAGCAACTTGACCGGCCACCACCGACAGTTGGCGGCTACCGACAATCGTCCGATAATTGGCAGACATTGTCCCGCGCACGCGGCCGACCAGGAGCTGAACGGAGGACCGTCCTGCGCTTTACGATTTGTTGATCACCGCCGCGATCGTGACGCGGACTGATCGGAAATATGAATTTATCACCGATCACGTTACACCAGCGAGATGACGACCGAGCGGTGTAATCGATTATGAGAAGGCGTTTGCATTTGCGGTCCACTCGTTCCTCCTGATGTTTGCCCTCGTAAATCTGCCGCGATGACTGGATGTTGTACCGCCGTAACGTGAAATTGAGAAAATCCCCGAACGGGGATTATCGTGGAAATTACGTCATGCGTATGTCTATTATTTCGCAAACTTGACGAATTAATTCTGTATGTAATTAATGGATACTTTAATAACGGGTTTTTTTTCATCAATTGCAGCTTGTTACATTAAAAAAATGTATTTTAATAAATATTTATTTGCATAGTACTAACTAAATATTTATTACATTTAAACATATATTTATTTGGTATAAAATTATTAATTTGATTTTTGAAGTCTGTGTTTCAATAAGTAAAATTTATTTACTGTAAGTAAATGTATAGTACTATTTAAATAAATATTTATTAAAATTTAGTAATTTTTTTCAGTGTACTCGTTACATTATTTGTTGAGTGTATTATTTACGTAAATATATATAAACTTTATATAAACTTATTCCATTAGTATTATAAGTTTTGATTTATTTCTTGTCGTAAACATTCCACTCTGTTATGTAATTATTTATTACGAATTTAATTCATAAGCCGAAGAAAATTACATTTTTTCTTGTGTATTCAAAAGATAGAAATAGACATTTTTTAAAAAGAATTTTTCCTCGATTAATTGATTAATAAATTTTTATCGTTAAAATCTTTATATCGATTAATTTCATTTAGTTGAATTGACACGCGTATAATAAGATTGTACAACACGAGCCGGACATCTTTGTATCCCAATTAAGAGCACATAGGGCGGCGGGATTCTCCTGATTTTGTCGAATCACGAGCCAGCACCATCTGTGTCCTTTGCGCCCTTTGAAAGATCGATTTGCCACCGGCAAATCACATTCGCACTTAACATTAAATTAATCGATTTCGATTATCCCGCTATTGATTTTACTACGAGACTTCGCTAAATCAAGATATCCCCCTTAACGCCGTGCCTAACGTTTCCAGAAAACACAAATCATAATAAGATGAACACATCAAGTAGAAGTCATTTTAGAAAAATCATAATGCCACTTATACACTTTTGGCGATAATTTTGTGATGAATTCTTAACGTGATAATAATTTTTTAATGATTTTTAATTATAAAATATATCGAATGCCATTATGATTTTTCTTAAATGATTTATGCTTGACGTTATACTCTAGACCTCTTAATATGATTTTCTTAATTAAATTTTTTTAACTAAAAAATTACTTGAATATCACTGTCATGTCAAGAATTCATGACAAAATCATTGTTAAAAGTGTACACTGAGAAAAAATGCTGTTGATTCAATTAAAGTCTATATATATTACGGGCTGTCACTAACATAAGTAAAATAATATTATTATGATTTTTCCTAAAATAACTTAATGTCATCCTGATCTCATGATAATTTTGCGTTCTCTGAGTTTGATCTTTACAGTAATCAACGGAAATAAATTAATGCTCTTGGCAAAAGTTCTTGTTTTACACGAGTTGAATTTGCTGTTGAACTTTTAAAATTACGTATCGGAGTACCTGACGTGAGAGTAATCGCTCAATATATTACCAGGACGAAGTACTGTACATAAATTACTTTTTTAAAAGCGACTTTACGGTACATTTGCTACCATTTCCCGAGTTCTCATCGTAATAAA